AAATATTTGCCCAATAGCTGGCATTTATCACCCAAGGCTACATCAAACTCCATTCTCATCCTGGAGGAGCTCAGAGTCCAGAGAAGGAGAAAGACCTGAAAACTAATCATTGTGACGCAATAGGAAGTGACTATAACAAGTTGATCTGAGAGGTAAGCAGCCCCAAGGAGACTGCTCCACTCTCTCTCAAAGCTATTACGAGATTCACTGGAGAAGTTTGGTCAGGATCTTTAACGGTGGATGTTTGTCTGGTGAAGAGTAGGAAGTTTGTTCCAGGAAGTGTGCACTGGGTATAGGACGGTGTGGAAGGGTGAGAGGAAATGTGTTGTGATTTTAAGATAAAGTTTAGGCTGTGTTTGAGAGCTTATTGGGTGAGTGGAATGAAAACTTCAGTCAGAAGCTAAAGGGTATTTTCAGATGTGAGAATGAATTTGAACATATGGATTTAGTGAAAACACACTGAAAGTAATAAAGAAATAATGGGTTAGGATTAGATTTTAGAAAGGTAATTTTGGTGGCATAGGAAGGATGGATTCGAAAAGGAAAAGGCCAAAGAATGGGAGCTAATAACAAGCTATGGTGGGATATCACACAGTGCACTGGTTGGAAACGTGGACTCTCAATCCAGAGTGTGTGGACTTGACTTATAATCTTAATCACCTTGTCAAAGTTAATTAACTACTCAATGCTGCAGTTTCCTCATCTGTAAAATGGATGTAATAATGAAACTTACACATAGGTGTGTTATAAGTATTGAATTAAGTAATGCATATAAATTCATGATACATAGCAACCACTTAATCAGCGTTGTTTATCATTAATATCTCCCTCAAACAGCATAAAACCTATGAGGGAGATGAAATGTTTACAGCCATTTACAGATACAAATACGAAGGTTTCTATACTAAGTAACTAAAATGACTAATCACTGGTCTTAAGACAATGGATGAAATAAGGACTTACTATCTATGAATACCTACTATTGGTGTTAGAACATGCTATACTTGTTTAAATCATGTTAATTATGAAGCTCCCATTTTCTCTAGTTTTACTATGAATTCGTGTTGGGATGGAACTGAAGAAACCAAATGGCATATATAGAAAATAACATTTGGCTCTATAAAGCTGAAAAGTATAGGCTGCAAATTACAACATTTTTTCACTGGCCTAGCTCTGCAGAGACAACCCTGCCTGACTCCATACCTATATTTTACCTGTCAACTGAAGAGGCACTCTGTAGATGCTGAGTTTCACAATGTGGTCATGTTCATACATTTTACAAGTTGCATTTCTTGTCAAGAAGAATATAAAATTCATCATGTGGTTACTTCCTAGCCTCTGTCAAACTAACAGTCCAGATAAGGTCAACATTACAACTGGTTTATAAATCATATCATCTATCCTGCAATGCCTGTTTGCTTTTTCATTTGTTTATAATAACAGGTGACAACACCATCTTCCAGCTTAGCAAATGCTGTATGTCCCCAAGGTTCTTTAAGACATGTAGCTCTTTGGAAGACTCCTCCTCAGATGGACACAATATCACCTGGTCAATAATGAATTCAAATTTGAGAAGCATCTATTCTTTATCAAATGGTTCATGGTGGGTGAGGAGTATTGTGTCTAATGCGCATGCCATGGCAATTTTGAAGCAGCTTTCAGATGCGTTTTTAGGAATGTTAAGAAGGAGCTGATGAAAGTCTGTCTTCCTTGTAGAGGGTGAAGTAAATAGATCACCCTATGGATAGGATCTAACTACCTCTTAGTATTTCTCCTAGCCTTTGAAGTTTTTTCTAAGTTTAAAACATTGCATTTCCTCAGTTCATATGGGTTCAAGGCAGAACAGCTTCACAGAATAAAAACATATTAATTTTCAAGGTATTAATTTATGTTTATAGCAGGGGAAGAGGACCAAGAAACTATTAGGAATTGAAGGGTTGTATTAAAAAGTTCACATTCAAATTTTAGTTAAGAGCAATTTGTTGAAACACTTCTTCCATATTATAAACTTCAGAGCTTCCAGTACACAGACACCTCATCTCAACACCCCCTACCCTCTGTCAAGGCCCAATCTTTAAACATTCAAGTCAAATTTTAAACATTACCTGGAAGTGTGGAGAACAATAAGCCACAGTGGGAAATAAGCATCAAACTTCTAATATTGATTAAAGATTATTAACTTTTTTATATATTTCCAAATCTTAGTTTGATTTGTGAGGGCAAGCATAAGTTACTTTTCTTATTAAAAATAAGTCTGATATAGGAAAAAATTTATAGTTATTCCAACTAGCTAGTTACTTCTGATGAAATTGCTCTATAAAATAGATATAAAACCTCCTATATCACTAAGTATCAATTACACTGGGAAATGTGAAAGCTGACATCACTCAGTAACCTTAGAATGAAACTGAACCTCAGAACAGATGCTCAGTAGCCAGGTTGGAATGACTTATTTTTGTACCCTTTCAGTATTGGAAAATTATTTTTAATTTTGTTCTAGATATATTGAGGTATGATTTACAAAAAGTGCATCAATAAAGTGAACAACATTGTATGTTATATAAGTATGCCTGTTCAGTGATTACCACAGTCAAAGTAATGAACTTATCCATTGCCTCACATGGTTACCACTTGGTAAATTCTTGAATAGGTTCAGCATCAAAGAATAGTCCTCAATTTTCAGTTGGTATTTTAAAATCTATACCTTCTATAGTCTGGGTTAATAATTAATATAAATATTGTTTGGATTTTTGTACGCCAGCTATTAAAGTAGTGAATAAAACACTATTCCAACCTTTAATATGTTTAGGGTCTACATATAAATCGTGTCATTATGCATATATTATAACAGGTTAATAAAAGTCACTGCATAAATATCACAGTTTTATATGGACAAGTCCACATCTAAAATATGTAGACATATAAATTGTATGTATATTATATACATGGATATCTATAAATATAGACATAGATATTGACATGTACATAATAGAAATAGGTCTAGATACATACATGTAACTTTCTGTAATTCATAGAAACCCATTGAGTTTGGTTCCTTTCTAGTACCCAAATATGCAAAAATTAATAGAAAGATATGTAATTTTCATTGTTAAACTTTAAATTATATCTATATTTTAGGTGCAGGTTTATAATTTTCAATTAATAACTTGATCTATGATTATTTCCAAAAATACAAAAAAAACTGTGAAACATTTTATAATTTTAAAATTATGATAGCTCTAAACATATTAAAATAGAAATATATCATTTCTATGGTCGATTTTCAATACTATTATGTACAAAATTAGTTAATTAAAATGAGCTTAATGCAGGACTCCTAGCACATACCATTATTATAAAATACACCTGATTTTAAAAAGTAACTCAGACTTAGGACTTTGAGAATGGATACATTGAAACAACCTAAAATTGCCACCTTATTTTAAAATAAGATAACATAAGGGAGTTGAGGTAATTTTGTTTGCTTTTTCTCAAGACCCATGATTATTTTCTTCCAGGAAAACCATCAGTGCAAGTAATTAGTAGATTGTGCTTACTGACCAGGCTGACTTCTAATTCCCACCCTGATGCTGCTTGATTCTCTGTGCATTTACAGGACTATAATTACAGACGAGGGCTTAGACGTTGCTTGACCAGCAAGACTGGCCAACCCTCTTGGAGCAACTGGGAATGGGAGAATGGCAGGGAGTGCCACGCGTGGTGATGCCAATCAAGCTGCCTGACTAATGGTGGACCTGGCAGAGCTCAGGCAGAGCCTGGGGGTTGAGGTCTGAGACTGGCATTGTTTCCTTCAAAGCAAAATGTGAAATGTGATTATCAGTGAAGCAAATAAAGCCAGTTCAACTAGAAATAAACAGACAAAAAAATAAACAAACAACAGCAACAACAAAAAACCCTGAGATTAAAAAGGCAAAGCAGGAAATACCATTTTGTGACTTTTTAAAAATCTGGATTGCAAGTTTTATTTTGTTGACTTGATTGTTCACATGTGAAGCAAAATATGTTGTGCATGATTGAATGTAATGTCTTTTATGAATCTAAGTCAAATTCTGTGACACAATATAATACTCATAATGACACTTCATATAAAGAAATGGTTTAAAGACTTTTATTAAAAATTATTTCTTATAATTTTTCTCTAACATTTTGAGTGATCTGTTAGATGAAACTCTATGTATATGGCTGGAATGTGGCTGGCTTCTCACTGCATTCATGTAAGGGATATTCTGTATATGTCTATATATGTATCCCTATCCATATTGATATCCATATCTCTCTATACATGTGCATTCACACACACTTTTTTTACTTACCTTATTTTCTGCAAACTCAGTTAAATTTGATGGATAGCTTTAGACTGTTTTTCAACTTTTTAAAATATACAAGAAAATTAATTGAATGTTTTATCAATATTTTACTACTTTTTAAAATTGAATTTTTAGGGAGAGAGAGGGAGAGGGAGATAGATACATCAATTGGCTGCCTCCTACAGGAACCCCAACGGGGATTGAGCCCGCAAGCCAGGCATGTGTCCTGATGGGGAATCAAACCCGGGACCTCTTGGTTCATGAGGTAACACTCAACCACTGAGCCACACCCGCCAGACACTATTTTACTACTTTTAACTTAGAGGTGATATGATTATGGTTCAAAGCTTGGACTCTAGGTAAATCATCCTCACCAATTAACAGTCATATAGCCTGGAGCACTTAATCTCTCTGCCTTAATTTTCTCATCTTTAAAATGGAAACGATATTTTATGTTTCATTAAATAAACTTCTATATGTAAAATGCTTGGAATAGTGCTCTGAATAGTAATCGTATATATAAAATGTGTGTGCATGCAGACAGAGAAACCAGGTGTATGATTTAGGAGTACTTGTAATGCTTTGAATTTTCAAGCATAAGGTATGAAATACATTTCATAGCTTGACAGAATATAACATTTTGAGCCTGTTCAAGTTATCTATGCTACATTAATGGAGTCTATGGTGGAACCCCTAAAGCTGATAGTGAACATCGTCTCTTATTTCATTCACCCATGGACAGCCATAGGCGCCTTTTGTCAACAGGAAAACAAGTATGATGACTGCCTCTTTTCAAAACAGAATCTCCATATCGGTGTTCAATTCAATACGATGGCTACTTTCCAGGGCACGGAAGACATGGTATTTACAATTCCCAAAATAATGTACCTCAGGGCAAATTCTAACGTGTTTCTCTAGGCATCTAAACTACTATTCTTTTGTGTTCCTACTTGCAATGTCTGATATAACCCACCGCCACAGTGACTGCCAGTGCATGGTCTTGATCTTGATAACATTCGTGCTTTCATTTCAACTCTTGATTGGCCTTTAGCAGTCAGTAAGTGAGGCTGTCACTCTATCTCCCATCCTTATGAAATTGAATTTTATGAAAGAGACATAGCCTAGAGTTTGAGAGGTTTGATTGACATCTTCCATATGGCTGCCTTGCTTCAGTCACATAAACGGCGCCCTGGAAGGGCTGGTGTCTTCCTTTAAGCAGGGAAAGAGCAGATAGGGGAGAAAGAAGTCAGGGAAGACCTCAAGCGCAGGACTCTATGGCATCCACTGCTGTTGCCTGAGATAGTACGCATGCCCCCCAACTCCAACCCAGTTAGATAGACAGCATTTGCTAAACAGGGAACACTGATGACAGTAATTACATTGTTAATCCACCACTTCAAATGGGGAGAGGGCAGGAGTATTGGAGGGGCATTTTTCCTCGTTTTGAATTCACAGAACAAAAATCCATACAAAGATATACAAGTGTTTATTAAGACCCAAGCTGAGAGCTACCTAGCCATCACTTTTCTGATAATGATATATGAGGCATGTGTTTGGACTCTTTATCAGCTTTTCAGAAAAACATATATATCTGCAATTTTACCTAGTTGACAAATTTCAAATTCTCCAGATGGCAGCTTTAATATGTTTAATATGATTGTGCTGTTCAAAAATAGCAATAGAGTTATCTCTAGAGAAAGGCATTTGCTAGGAGAAGGCAATACCATATGAAACTAAGAACATTGCAAGCTTTTTTTGCTACTTGGCTTTCACTGAGCTCTCAATGAATAAAAAGTCAGTACTGAACAAATAACTAATGCTAATGATGAACTTAGCAACTGATTCTACCCAATTCCTAAAGTCCCTTATTGAATATAGTCAACCCATCCTCATATGCGTTTCCCTGTGTTGGTAATGTTAGCCACATCGGGATGTTTTTGTTTGTATGTACTTGCCACATGAATAGACTTGGAAGTGGATCAGAACCAAATACGTAGATCTATAGTGAGGGTGTCATTTGAACAGCTACACCTGGGCCCTCTTGAGAGTTTTGAGAATTTCTGCCCTAAGAACCATTTCAGATATTAGCATATCTCATAATATAAGGCTGATTCTGCCAGATAACATACAAATTGTCTGATTCATCTCATCATGTATTCCCAATCCCACACTCACTAGTACCTTAGGTATGCTTTGTGTTGCTCAGTACTTACAAAACATCGTCAAAAGTCATATCTGAACATTACAAAAGTGGATAATATAGTCAGTCACATTAATGATCTAAAAGAAGAGTATAAAGTATATATCTCCATAGATGCAGAAATAATTGATAAAGATCAGCCCCTATTTATATTAAAAAAGTAAAAAAACCTCCTCAGTGATAGTGATGGAAGGGATCAGAATTCTTTGTGGAAAGCACCAAGTTATAATAATAAAAGCATACTATGCTAATTAGACCGGACATCCTTCTGGACGTCCTTCCAGATGACCTTCCGGAAAAAGCCAGGACTGCAAGGGAAGCCTGGGTCCCGGGTGCCTGATGGTGGCCAGAGAGAAGCCCGGGTCCTGGGTGCCAGAGGAAAGCCAGTGCTGGCAGCGGGGGGAAGGAAGGCCTACACTTGCATGAATTTCATGCATCAGGCCTCTAATGCATTTCTAATAGGTTAGGGTTCAGAAACCAAACACACAAAATACCCCACAATTTATAGAGAGTAAAATAGACAAGCATGAAAGAGATTTATTCCATAAAATTTTAATATGAAAATCACATACTCAACAGCAGTATATGTTTTCCAAGGCATATGCTAGTACATATATTTGTAAGTCAGGTGATTGAAAGAACATAAAATTTATATATATATAGAACAAAAGGTCCAATGAGAGAAAGGGGATAACACTGAGAACATAGATTGAAAGAGGCAAAGAAGAAAATAAAATGAGCAAAACAAAAAAGGAGGTTTGCCTTGACCCATAATGGTATAAGGTCATGATCTGACAAGTGTGATCAGACATTCTCTGGACTAAATAAAGAAGGTAAAAATGTTGCGTGTCCTGTATCAAGCAGAGGTCAGCAACATAAACTGTGAAAGCGTTTTGTTTTGGAACTAGGTGTGCCTGGAGTTCACACAGTAGGGACAGACACAGGGACCATGCACAGAGACCTACATTTCTGTTCTAACACTTACCACTTCTCAGACTTCAGTGGATCACTTAGCCACACTGTCTCTTAGATACCTCACTCTGAAACATAGGACAATAATAGTTATCTCCCAGTTTTTGTGCAGAATCAATGAGACAACACATGACTTGGAATAGTGTGAATGCCCAGCACAAAAGTAGTTTAACAAATATGTTTTCTCTCTCCCCCAATCCCACATCCCTCCCGGTAATTTTATAATTGATCCACATCCTGTTGCAAGGGATTCTTGGAAAAAACTATAACTACTTCTCTAAGTCATTACTATGATACTCACTGAATTTTTTCAGCGAATCTTCCATTTTTTCAGTCCTAGCTCTAAATTACACAATCCATGATAAAGCTATTTATGATGGCTAATAGGGCCAATCAAAAAAAGAGGAAAAGGCAGAAATATTATAAGTGAAGAATTGCACATTAACTTATTCAGTCTGCATAACCTTGTAAATAATATTTAATGACACTATTAGTTCTGTCATAAAAAAGGCTGATAAATGTTGATGTGACTTTATTTTAGCTTTGCAGTCATAGCAAGTATATTATCATCTATATATTCTTTATAATTAATGATGGTAGTGCTATTTTCTTCCATAATTCAAGCATTAATGGGGATTACCCGCTGTTTGACTGATGTGCTTCATCCTCTCTACTTTTCCCTGTTGTGTCCCCACAGTTATAATGCCCCAATTTATAGTTTAGATTCTTCTTGCTGCTGTTTTACATCCCTGCTCACTATTTATTCATAGGCTATGGATAAGAGAAATCTCTGTTAGAATGGGCTTTTACACAGATGATTAGCAATGGTGCTCTGAGAATCACCACCTATTTTTTATACCATTGATGTATTCCAACAAGACACATGTAACACCACCTAACATCACAGTGGGTCTCCTTTTTAGGAAGTATTAACTGCATGGTCACAGTTGAAGGACTGTTGCATCAGAAGGCAGTTCAAGGTTGTAAGTCTGGGGTCACGTGCAACTTCCATGCCAGTCTGGTTATTAATCAGTCAGAACATTACTTTCCACTGTTGGGACTCTGTTGGCATTTGTGAATTTCTATTATGCAGGCTAGAACAGACTTAGCTGCTGTTTTTGTAAGCATTGCCAAGTGAATTTCACCATTGACTAAGTGAAAATGAAGATTTGACTAGGCAGGGCTGTTACATTGCAACCATGACAATGGTACCCAGTGTGCCTTAGGAAAAACAGGTGCTGTGCGAACAGTTGTCGTGAGCTTCTTTCTCTTTCACTGCCTGATGGAAAAATGTGCTGCTCAGCTAAAGAAATTCAGTGGGACTGATGATCATTCAAGCGGTCTTTAAACTGAGCTACATGTATTTCATTTAACAGTTTCAAGAGTGAGGATGTCCTTCTGACAAGAATTAAGTTTAAACCAGTGATGTTGGTAACGGGGGTTTTACAAATAATTTCCCTTTACAGCCTGAGTTAAAAAAAAATTTGTTGAATCTTTGTTTGGAACATCAGGTCCTTTCACAGTGTTTTAATTCAAACAGACAGTTTATTGTCATTCCACCTGGGGCAGGAAGAATAAAGCTAGGTTTAAGACACCCTTGCCACTTGCTTCAGTAGATCTGAAGAGAGACTTGCGAGCTATCCAGGTTTCACTTTTCAGTATAAAATGCCACTTCTGGACTAGAACCAATCTTAGTGTTATTTATTTGGTATTTTTTGTTTTTTGGTTGCTTAGTTGATTGGTTTGCTTTCCCCCCTGACTGCGTATCTACATGTGTCTTCATTGTAAAACTATAAGCACAGATGAATGTAGGAGAATTTGAAATGACTTCAGTCCCTTGCTTTTTTATAACAGTAATGCTTTGTTTTTATTTTTTGTTTCCATTGGAATAGAAAATTAATTCCATTATTTAATTTTCTTTTAGAGCCCTCCTTTTACCTGGTTACTGTAGCTAACGGGGTATGACAAAAAGCCATGTTTGATTTACAATGCAATACTCTTAGGGTTAGAAGGACCCTAGATATTAGTTAGAGTCCTGCATTTTGCCGATGAGGAGTCAGACCCCTAGAAAAGGGAAATGACTTACTGGGGCACTGCAACTGCTTAGTGGCAGATCTGCGTGTCAAATTCAGGCCTCTTGACTTACTCCATAGTTCTTTTTCTTCCGTATAAGCCCCTCTTGTCCTATTCCCTTACATAAGGACCTTGAGCAGATACTAACAACAAACCCTTCCTGTGGTCTCCCCGAAGAACTTTCTGGTTGATGAGCTCAAGTGCTTGGCAGTGACTGTGGCAATATCCGTAATTTATCCTGTGACTGCACAGATGACATCCTGTGAATACTGCCGGAAGCCTCCACAAACTCAACACTGAGAGGATTGTTAGTGTCTATGGATCCACAGCTCCCATAGTTTTCATTTGAAATAAACCTGAAAATGCCATTCTCACTGTTAAAGACTAATGCCAGATATGGGTACCGCAGTTATAATTGCTAATTATGGTGTCAGTGAGATCCAATGCTTTCTTTCATCAGTGTGCTCACCTGTATATCCTGTTTTGTTATTCTAGGTTTGTGTGCTGGAGAGGCAAATATTTGACTTCCTTGGATATCAGTGGGCACCTATCCTGGCAAATTTTGTACATATTATTATCGTCATTCTTGGTTTGTTTGGAACTATTCAATATAGACCTCGTTACATAAAAGGAGTAAGTACCCTTCCAACCTTTTTCAAATGTTACTGAAATAGAGAAATATATGAAAATGTCTTAAAATTTTATATGCATAACCTCTCCTTAAAGTAAATATGTTTGTTTTCATAGTTTCAAATGGCATCTACAGTAGCTGAAAATGTCAAGTTTAAAGCATATGACAGTGAATGTAATCCAATTGTTTTCATAAAGTGTACTTACATCAAATTTTCTTTTGTAATTAAAAGCAGAATTATGCCCCTATGCTTCTAAAGCATAAAGTCATAGCCTCTGACTTAATAGATTTAATGGGAATGTTCCCATTTTAAATAATCATATTTTAAAACTGAGTAAAGATAGTTTAAATTAATACAAATGAATTTATAGTTTCAGTGTGAACATATTAATACATATTAGGGTTAAAAATTGACATGTTTGAAAGCCAAAAGAGTCTGGACCAATATCTCTGTGTTCTCCATGATTTCCTTTTTGGCTCAGAGAAAGTATTTTGCATTCCCACTCAAGTTAAGCTTACTTAACATAAAAGTGAAATCCAACTGTGTTGCAGTTGCTATGGGAACCATAACTTAGGATTTTTTTTACTTTTGTATGTGCCTCAGATCTCAGCTATAGCTCTTCATTAATGTCTTTTTTTCTGTCTCATCATTTTTTTCTCTGTCTTCTATTTTAACAAAGGAAAAGTCTATAGGCATTTATTTAAAATTATAAAGTGAGTTTGTGGTAAAAGTAGACGTAGAAGATAGCACAGGTGAAGCCCTGCCTTATTCAGCACAAGCCGGCAGGTTGTCTGGGTTTCAGGAAGCCCTCCCTCACATAAAAGATGCCTCCTATGACCTGTTCTCTTTGTCACCGGGAACCCAGATAATGCTCCTTGGTTCAGAAATAGGCAATATGATAGCAACTGGGGCGCAGACATTCACTGTCTGGTTAAAGATGAGCAAAGAGTTCATAGTCTTTTCAAAGCGCATACCCAGAAATTGAGTGCGTGTTATATCTAAGGCTGTGTGCCCATGTAAATCTCTTAAAAAGACAGATGTGTTCTCTTGCAGAGTGAAGTTTTTCATTGCACAGGATATTAATAGTATGGTTCACTTTTTGTACTTTGATCCAATATAGGCACACTCTTACAGGGTTTGGGAGTGAAGTCATAATACCTGGGTTGAAATCTTGCATCTGCCAAACTCTGTGTGACTTTAATATTTTTGCTTATTGATTGAGTTTAGAGTGAAAGAGGAAAGAAAAGAGAGAGAGAGAGAGAGAGAGAGAGAGAGAGAGAGAGACCTTGATTTATTGTTCTACTTATGTATGCACTCATTGGCTGATTCTTGTATGTGCCCTGACCGGGGATCAACCCCGCAAACTTGGCCTATTGGGATGATGCTCTAACCGGCTGAGCTAAACTTTGTGTGACCGTAGAGAGCATAACCTCACGGATCCTTAGTGTCCCTATCTTTTAAATGAAAGCAATAATTATATTAATCCATATGCTTTAATTAGTTTATATATTATAACCAATTATATAAAAGATTCTTAACTTTTATTAATAAAAGACTTTGAGGTTTCTCCATGATTTTATTCTTACAAATGATGCCGCTCTGATCATTATACATATAGAAATGTCTTCTCAATTTCTATGAGGTTTTTGGGACAAAATTCTAGGTATGGATCAAAATGTTTGTACAGCTGAAACACTCGGAGGTTTGTTTTGAGGAATAAATGAGATATTCTATAAAATGTGCTTAGCACAAAATTTGGTGTTTAAAAATTTGTCAATAAATGTTAGCTATAAGAGTGTTCTCTTTATTGTTATTATTATTTGAAAATAAAACTAAACTGTATAGATTAACAATAGGCTGGCAGGCACTTTAAAATAGAGTAAGGTGTTCCAAGCTGTTAGTTGAACTATTTCTGGCCCTTTTAGTCCAAGCTGCTACAACTCTGAAATATGGTACGTGATTTCTGTGTATCAAATTATAATTCCATCCCTGTAGATAAAATACATACCCACAAATCTTTTCAAGACGGGCTGCTCTCTCTAGCATGAAAGGTAAAAAAGGATGCCATGGGACATCTTTAAGATTGTTAGAACTTTTGGGTAGCTCAGAAAGTCTGAAATCTTTCTGAGGTCTTAACAAGGTGTCTTAGAGCTACATCTTTAGTTTGATCTTGACTAGCAGACAGCATTTTGAATTTGATCTTTTCCTTGAGACATTGTCTTACTTGGAAAATCTCTTGACAGCTGGAGATACTGTAAATGTGAAACTTTTATTTTCTAAATCAGCAAGTCCTGAGTTGGAAAAATATCCTGTAAATTATACTTGCAAAATGAATTGTTCCTTTTTGTTCATTGTTCTCTTAAATATCATGTTATATGTGTTTAAAAGGTAACAAGTGACACTGTCAATTCTTTGCTTGGAACCCCCTTAGCCTGGACCACAAGTTTATAGGTATGTTCTCTGTCTTCCCAGTTACTGCAGGCTCTGGACAGGCTAATTGTTCTGACAATTGTCTTCCTGAGTCCTCTTGTCGCCGGTCCTCTGAAACAGCTTCCTTACGTTGTTTCTGTCTCCACCTATAGTCTCCTTGCTGCCCTCTGGCCTCCACCTGCCTTCTTGTCTCCAAACTAATGCTGAGTGTTTTGGGTTTGTGTTACAGTACCACTCAAGTTTTAGCACCAATTTCTGTTCTAGTTACCTATTTTGGTGTAATTTCTGTATAACATACCATTTCTGTATAATTGCATTCATGGAATCTGGTGGCTGTGATACCATGTTGAATGTCAAAAGTGCAATCAGGAAAATAGATAATTTGCCATAAAAATTGAATTAAAATTTTTCAATTTCCCTTAATATGGAAAAAAACAACAACAGCTACTACAATTAAAGACATTTCAATGGCATCATAGATGCCAAAAACTTTGGTCAATGAAGGACCTGGGTTTAACATCTTATCAAACAATTTGAAACTTATATAACCAATTCATTGTGCATCCTACCAATTATACTAATGTTATATGTTATACTACATAACATAATACATAATACATTATGCTGTTTTTATATATATTATGCTATTTCAATGTCATTATTATAAACAATTCCCTATTTTTTCCACAAAAAAATCCTCATCTTTACTTGCAATTTAATTCCTTAGGAAGAATTTCCTAGGTATAATGAAATAATATGAATAATTTTAAGGCTCTTAATATATAACTGAGAATTACCTACCCCTAATTATTTTACTGAATTTTCCTCCCACCACTGTACAGCAGAGTCTATTTCACTGCACTCTGGCTAACCTTGAATATTATCTGTTCTCACTTTCGCTAATCTGATAGGAGAAGAAAATATATTTTAAATTGCCTTTCTTATTTTTACTGAGTTGGGCTTTTTCATATGTTCATTAACCATTTTTATTTCCTTCTTGGGAGATTATCTTTTGGTGTTCATTGTTCATTTTCCCCCTGGAGTCTTAGTGTTTATCTATATATGGATCACATGCTAAAGATATTAATATTTAAATATTATAAATTTTCATTTGATACTTATTATTTTTCTCTTATTAAAATTAACTTTTCTTTCTCTTTGAGATTTCTTGTCTTGCTTTAAACATTATAAAATGTATATATTATTTGAAAAGTGTAATGTTAGGCCTTGATTATCTTTGGGTCTAAATTTACTAAACCAAAAAGGCAGATATCCTGAAATAGAGTCTAAGAGATGTATCTCTTTCCACATTTGCTGTTTGTAAAGATTTTTATTTATTGATGCAAGATTTTACTCTATGTTTTGTTTTGTTAACTGGAAAAAAAGCCCCAAAAAAGCATGTTGGCATCATCTGAAACACAGAATACATGATCAACAAATAAAATGTAGAGAGTATTGGTATATTTAAGAGTAAAGAAGAAATTAAAAAAAATTAAAACAGTTCATTGGAACAGGAAGTCATTAGTATTCTTTGAGGGCCTCTGGCTTTCAAGGAGTATAATATATTGAAGGAAAATGAAATTGATTATTTCAATTCCAAGCAAAGGAAACCTAAAGCCAGAATTCACAGAAAGCATCTAAATTGTGTAATTCTCAACAGTATCAGTCTCCATCCCCCCGCAAAACAAAACAAACAAACAAACAAACAAAAAACCACAATTAACTCTGGTGAAATAATTCATGAATAAACACATACATGGCTCCCATGTAAACATTACCTTATTTTACCTTATGTCATAAGTGGAATTGTTTAATGCATCATTGTCTGGGCCCGTGGCAAGCAAAATGTGATTTGGGATATCTAGTGTTTATTATGAATGACAAGAAAATGTTAATGAGTTGCACTGCTTTAAATTTTCTCAAATAATCTGAGGAGTGTGTAGGTTTCTAATTGCTAATGGCACAGCAGTGTTCTTGGTGATATTGCCAAAGGACATGATGCCATAGCACACAAAAACATTTCCTTCCTTCCTTCCTTTCTTCCTTCCTTCCTTCCTTCCTTCCTTCCTTCCTTCCTTCCTTCCTTCCTCCCTTCCTTCCTTCCTTGTTCCTTCCTTCCTTTTCTCCTTCCTCCTTCCCTCCCTCCTCTCTCCCTTTCTTTCTATTTAATGAAGTTATTTTGAAAGAATAAAAAATACCTTATACAGTTTGGATCTACTGGCTTGATCAAAGAAACCCAGTCCCAAAACTAGATATGAATTAAAAATAGCTAAAAATGTATTACTCGAATGTTATAAGAATGTAGAAGAGTACAGCATTCCAAAATCAAGGTAATTTTGTAAGAATCATATATTTTATTCTTGCCACTTTCATTACCCTCCACCTTGATACCTTTCTCTACAAATCCTATAAACCTCACCTGAACTTCACAGCACTTTTGCCTAAGCCCATATGACTAGGAATTGGTAAAGTTAGGATGTGCACCCAGACCCTCCTAACTGCCAACCCCATGCTGTTACCCGCTGTATTGAACTGTCTCCTAGGAGCACAGCTGAGAGGGCCACGATCTAG